TTCCTGAAAGGGATTCTTCTAGGCACTTGGACACTTGAGATGTTTCAATTAACTTAAATAGAGAATATGCAGCCTTCTTTAATATTAGGACTAGGTAGGGGAGGAGAGCGGGTGTTAATTTACCTCCGGTCGTGGTCTTGATAATATGTTATATTCCAAATAGTTATTGATAGCAAATACTTGCATGGGAAACTAACTTAGTAATTAGTATGAAATTTACTGTATCTAGATATATGATGGCTTGCTGTGGTGTGGCTTAATAAATACTGGCTCTATGATCTGTATAAATATTGGGTTATGGATCTCATCGTAGCATTTTCGATTGATATCAATATGCAACTTTTTGTGTTTTGCACACACATAGAATTAATAAATAACTGCAATGATGGTTTAGTTGATTAGAGAATATGTTCTCGTTACATGTAGTTATTATTCACATTTCAATGAGAAGTTCCTGTTGTGGCTCAAACTTTCACTTAGATGCTCAAGAAAACTACAAGCATGCTTTGAAGAAAATTGTTTATTCATGCCTATTCAACAAGTCCATTGCAACTTTGGCACATGCAAAAGCTTTAATTCAATAACGAATCTTATCAAATATGAGCAGATTAGTCCTGTTAATTTTTGGTTAAAAGCATATATTCATACACTTGGACACTTGAGATGTTTCAATTAACTTAAATAGAGAATATGCAGCCTTCTTTAATATTAGGACTCGGTAGGGGAGGAGAGCGGGTGTTAATTTACCTCCGGTCGTGGTCTTGATAATATGTTATATTCCAAATAGTTATTGATAATATGTTATATTCCAAATAGTTATTGATAATATGTTATATTCCAAATAGTTATTGATAGCAAATACTTGCATGGGAAACTAACTTAGTAATTAGTATGAAATTTACTGTATCTAGATATATGATGGCTTGCTGTGGTGTGGCTTAATAAATACTGGCTCTATCATCTGTATAGATATTGGGTTATGGAACTCATCGTATCATTTTCGATTGATATCAATGTGCAACTTTTTGTGTTTTGCACACACACAGAATTAATAAATAACTGCAATGATGGTTTAGTTGATTAGAGAATATGTTCTCGTTACATGTAGTTATTATTTGCATTTCAATGAGAAGTTCCTGTTGTGGCTCAAACTTTTCTAATCAATAATAGAGGCACTTACCAATTGCTAACTATGGCCTTAAATTGCCTTATTACTGTTTGACCAAAATTCATCATAAGCGCTAATTAGTTATCAACAAGGCTATGAAGAATGGATATTGATTTGCAAATATGAAATCAATAATTTGTTTGGGGAAATTGCAATAATCTTTGTGCACATTCTCAATTGATGTTTCGCCTGAAGGCTGACCTGGTATGAGATCTTTAAATTAGATCAAAGATATTCATGTATGTGCGACAAAAACAATAAGTTATTACCTGATTTAGATTGTAGTCGTAGTGACCTTCTGGAGGATAATATCATGGACGAGCTTATCAAGTGCTCAAAATCTTGTATAATCTGTTGCTTGTTGGAGGCCTTAACCTTATAGATTCTTGATCAAATGGGTCGAGTCCTTGAAATGACAATAGAATAAGACTACTGGTCTTCAGCATATACAAGGGATGCAAGGGAAATCCATTTTGTAGGGATATCAATTGTAGTCATGTCCAATAAGAAGGTTTTAGTTGTAGTTTGAAAATCCAACTTTTGTCTGTTTCTTCTTTTCTTTTCGCAGTCCAAAATGTCACGTATACTTACCTTCTGTTTCTGAAGAAGAAAATAGTGAACAGCTAACAGCCTTAAAATTGATCTTTTCCCTCTTTCTCATTTTTCTGTAGCCTCCTGAACTGAAGATCAAACCTTGGGTTGTGTTACTTGTGTACAGTTGTCATTGCACCTGGGTTGGATCTGATTGGTCACTGGACCTAGATATTTTGACAATGCCTCCATCCCTGTACTGAGTTCTTCGTTGATGATATAATTTGTTATAAACATGCTGGATCAGTTAAAATGTACATAACCTATGCTGTGGTAGTAATTCAGATTCTTGATCTTCATTTTATATTCAGTTGCTTACACGCGTCTTATTTAATGCGCACGTTCATGTTGGCTCATATTAGTTTTGTGTTTTCATTTGGTTTCTCATACAATAGTGGTTCAAATTAGTTCGTAGTTTTATGAATATGGTTGCTTACGCTTAGATCTTTGTCCCATATATTCAAGTGCAACATACAGGAAATAAGTAAGACTTTTAGGTTACGAACATATACTTCAGAATCTGAATCTGAATGTCATTTTCTTTTTAATGCTGAAGTTGGTTTAGTGATGTTCTTACACATTAACTCTGCATTCTTGTTCTTGTACTAATATGGTCTTTCCCGTTTTGTTGACAGAGAAGCAGCTAGCAAACTCCCCAAAGCAGCAGCGATGTGCGTGCACGATTCTGTGACACCCAGATAATATTGATGGTTCAATGAATTTTTCTCAATTCGGCTCTTATGCTGCTCTGCCCTTTTTTTTTAATATCTCGTGTTCAAGAGTTACAGTTTATAAATCTAGGGGTGACCTTCAGATGCATGAGAGATGGCTTCATTACCCCTTTTGAAATCTGTTCTCAACGTGCTCGTGGCTCTAGAATTTGTAAGACATATTCGTGATTATTTCCGTGTTTGTTGTATAAATGAGAGTTTTGAAACAAAGAAACTAACTGATGATATGCTTCCTTTTAGCGTTTAAGTGATTGTTGTATGATTCTTCTAAAGTGTCTTCAGACGATTGAATGATTCTTCTTTTAAAGATGTATTCATAGGGTCATGGTAGGTTCCATGGTTATTCGATTATTTGAAAGACTGATTCTAATGCAAACTGAATGCAAATTCCATGGGTTACTACTGTAAGTCGTCTGGTATCAGTCGCAGCAGGTTGAGCAGAATCAGTTTTCGGTTTGGTTTGCAACTGGATGTTCGACTGGCGCAGGTCATCTTGCATCCAAATTACGGCAGTTCGCGTTGCTGTAACTCGAGCGGATCTTTTGTAGCTTGTTCTCAAGCTTGTCATGGGGCTCAAATTACTGCAATTCAAGCAGATATGTTTGGTTCGTGAAGGGTTGCACAAGTTATTATCCTCAACTCATGTTGGGTCGCCGTCATGTGGTGGTGGGTGGTGGGGGAGGGGGGGGCGGCCTCCTCTCGGATGACTAGTCCATCACCAATCTCCCCTGACCAAGTGAACCTCGGGTGTTATAATCGAAACCCAGATACTCGAGCGACGCATTGACAAGCTCTCAACCGCCTCTTGATGTCACCCTTGGGTGAAGCGCCGTGCGAGCTTGGGCTCGTGTGTTCGGCGCGTATGTAAGGGGCTGGACTTTTGACTCGTGGGCCTTTTAGGTTGGTGCCTGCCACTTCAAAGGGGAGAATTTTTAAAAGGGGATTTATGTCACCGTTACGATTAATTAATGGCGTGTATGTTATGCGTTGGACTCATTGGTTGGGCGGTGATCTTCCTCCTCACTTTACACAATTTATTTATACAGGCGCAGAAGATTATAAAAATTCTTATAAAAGGTAGGAAGATAATATATATAAGATTATATATATATATATAATAATATATATATATATATATTTATATATATATATATAGGGAGAGGTTCTAATAAAAACCTCCTTAGCCTAAAAACTAAAAACCTCCTTCATCCAATGGCTAGGATTCAGTCAAACAGTCAAAAGACACATGCATTAATTACCTCATTAAACACATGCATTAATTACATCAACGCAGTGAATCTGGATTCACTGCAGTGAATCTGGATTCACTGCAGTGATTCGAGATACGTTGAGGTAGTGAATCTGGATTCACTGCGTTGAGGTAATTAATGAGGTAATTAATGCATGTGTCTGTTGACTGTTTGACTGAATCCCAGCCATTGAATTCATCTAGATCCAATGGATGAATGAGGTTTTTAGTTTTTAGACTAAGGAGAGAGAGAGAAATGGAGAACCTTGATACCAAGTTGTTTAAAACAACTTGGTAGTGATGTGGCCTAATCTTGCCCCTACATCACACCTCGAAGATAGAACCTCAACCACCATTCACAAACTCCAATGTAGATGTAGGGACAAGATTAGGCCACATCACTACCAAGTTGCTTGAAGCAACTTGGTACCAAGTTTCTCCATTTTTCTCATATATATATATATAAGTAGAGTATGAGGAAAAATGAGTAATACTTGGTCAAGCAAATTTTTGTGGGCTTGTAGTGGGGGGTGGTCATTCTCATCACTGACATTCAATTGGAGGGCACATTACAAACCATGGTAAGGTGGTGCCACATTTGAATGAGTGGAAGGATAATATGGACACTATACCAAGCACAAATTTTGTGCTGACAAGCATACCATATGCTCTATATTATATATATATAATGTATACTTATAATATAATATATTAATATTATATATATTTTATATATAATCTAGTAGTATATATTATAATATATATAATATAATATAGTATAATATATATATAATTATGTAGTAATATATATATATGACAATTGATATGCTTGTAGCAAGCACAAAAAGTTGTGCTGGTAGTGTTGCATACTCGCCCCTCCATCTTTAAAATTGGAGACCACATTCAATGGATGGAGATGGATGAAGGGATGTGAACATCAGCACAAGCAGAAAATTTGCTTGGTACCGAAGCATAGCGACATTTCGCTCTCTCTCTCAATCTTCTTCTCCTCTAAATATATATAGATATATAGATTATAATATTTATATAGTATAGTAATATATATAACATATTAATAATATTAGCTTGTAAATATTGCTAAGGACGTATTAGAGGGGGAATTGTTAGAAATTATTAGAAGAAATATGAATCGGATTTATTTGACGCTCTAATTAAAGAATTGAATACGGGACTATGGAGGGTAGGATTATTCTGGCAACCAGAGTTAATGCTGTATAATTTTAATACAAAGACGCGGGTGATATTTTACTCACCTTTTGCACAAGGAAAAAAAAAGAAAAAAGAAAACAAGTACTTGAGTAAATTAAATAAACTTCATTCAGAGCATCAAATATTAATTTACACGCAACTACCAACATCGGAATACAAAATGCTTATCGGTCACATGCCCTCGGTCAGAAATTGACTGCAATCTAGCTAGCTAACACAATCTATAGTATCCTAACTTAATATCTCCACCAACTCCATCGTCCACCAACCCGAAGATCACCGGCCGGTCACCGGGGCTCCGGCGTCGACGTCGGGTTTCGCGCCATTTGGATGAACCTTCTTCTTCATGATCCCGAAC